GCTGTTTATTTTTACAGAAATTTGCCTCACCAACAAACTAGTGATGAGCAAATGCATGACCTGATACCAATACCCTCTTGGTCTTGGTATTATAGTTAATAAGTAGTCTTGGTTTTAGTCTTGCAAGGTCCAGTCTTAGTCTCTTCAGATCAAAAGCTAGTCTTAGTCTTGGTCTTGCTTTTTGTGAAAGACTAAGACCAAGACCAGGACCAGTCTCACGCATCACTAACAAATATCACTTTGTGAAACACTTATCACTTTGTGAGATATATCACCATGTCTGTCATTGAAAGCACAATATTTCAGACAAAATTAAGCAGATCTAAATAAAGGCGGCGAGTTGCCTTAGATTTAGATGATTAAAAGTTTTTTAATCACCTGTTGATTATGTTTTATTGTATGGTGGGAAACTAGTGTTTTATTTTGTTGTTGTATAGCCAAAGGTTTAATCTTCAAAGGTATACGCATAACACCATATTGTATACTTCGTCAACATTGACGAATGGTAATAGCAAACATTAATTTAATATGTATTACACGATATAAACGATATGAACTAAAAAGTTGAAGTCAAAACAGATATGCACCATCAAAGTTACTACCGTATTAGTGATTGACTTATTACCATGATTTATCCATGCACCATATTTTTAATGCAAAAAGTCATATATGGGTTTAGTGAAAGTCATTAACTTGTGTGGGCGAGACAACTAAAAATAGCCTTTAGAAAACGAGATAGAGGAAAATGCAGGAAATTTGGTAACAGTGGAAAGTATCGGTAAGTAAATAATGAGCCTTACATGTTTTAAATGGGTATAGGTACCTTATAAATATTTCAACTACCACCGTTCGACTCTCACTTTCAATGACGGTATCTTATCTCTTGAGCCATTTCGTTTCCATCTGAAGATAACAGGAGGGCAATAAAAATGTTATTATTTCAAGAATTATTAAGCTTTTACATTTAAATTACACCTGACTTATACAATTATTATTAAAATATATAAACCAATACACCTACACATTTAAAAGCTCATACTGAGTAACACCAAAATCGTTTTGGTTTGGCTAGTTAACATTTTCTTTTTGTGTCGGTAAGAACACAAAAAGAAAATGTTAACTATAGTTATGTAAGCTTTAGGTAAATATAACTATAAATATACAGAATGCTAAGGGATTAAGAGACCTAGAAGCCCAAACCTGAGATGGGACCATGATATTAGGAAATTAGCAGGGATAATTTGGGCTCGCATAGCCTACAATACACAACAATGGACCCAACTACAATTAGAGTACGTAAGGAAGGCTACACCATAATTGGAAATGGTTAAATAAGCTGAAAATAATTATGATGATGATGATACAGAATGTTGTCTAAATTCTTCCCTTAGGCTCATTTCCTGTTAAACTGGAAGTGGTATCTAGCATTCAATTATTCATATTCAATTGTTTCTTTAATAGGAAACGAACGAGAGAAAATCGTTGAACTGTATATTAAACCCAAATTTCATAAAAGAGCAATGAAATCGTCTATGCAATGATTTTGTTGACACCCGATATACAATATGACCCCGGATTGTCTTTACAAGACGAAATACCTTTTTATAATTATTGATCTTTTGAGAAAAATGAATTCCTCATAAAATATTTGCTTCTTCTAAAACGGTTAGTCCCATTTAATACTTAAATATAAAATTTCCATACCGATTTAGAGAAAATTACGAAAATCAGTCCTAAAAAACAAGTCGTAAAAATCTTTTTTCGTTTCCATGGTAATATAATTTAGTTTTCATTCTTTGATAGATTGTTACTGATAGTTACTGATTAATTCTAATTATAATTAACGTAGTATTTTTGCTGTTTCAAAATGTTAAACAAGCACAACATTTATTTGGTTCAATGCTACTGAAAGGATGATAATAGTTATCGGAAAATGTGGTACTTTAACAAGAGCAAAAAATTTGACGTTAATCAAAATGAAAAACAACCATCCATCAGTTCGACTTCGGCAGTTATTAAATTGATTATCATTTAATACCGTATTATCGAAAAAAATGGCAAAGACGCCTGGAGAATGACAATCGATAATAATTTTGGCAAGGTCATCCTCTATACGTCATTTACTAAAAATTCACATAAAAATTTTCAAAATTAATACTAATTATAGGAAGATTAAAAAAGGATAGAACGTTTTCAGACATCCAAACCTATTTCCAAAAAATTATTTTGACTATACCATTTAAAAATAATTTTTACTTAATTACAGAAATAAATTACAACCTTCTTAAGACCAATTGGCACTAAGCGCCGTTAAATAATAAAGAAGAGTCAAGAAATCACGTTTAGGGCTTGACCTCGTAAAAATTATCAGCGATCTTCATTACCAGCCTTATCGTTTTTTTTTCGATCGTATGGTATTTACCGAATCTTACCCTATACAGTTTAAACTATATTATGCTATATAATTACTGGAATATAAATTTCGTTTATCTCACTGTGAAAAAAAAATGTTGTCTAATATTCACATATATTATGACATACTTGGTCAAGCAAGTACGTCAAAATATTCCTTTGCATGCATTAAAATAATCTCTAGCTCGTGAAGCTTGAATAAAGCAAAACGTTCCCACAAGAAATAACAGTTTAGTTTTTTATTGTATGGTGATTTTGTTTTGAATTCCTCCGTAAACAATGAAGTAATAGGAAAGTGTAAACCTTGATGGTAGAGAGTCGGTTGTAAAATCCATTCTAAACAGGGGAATTGCGGTAAAATTCGTCAAAATAAGCTTCATAATTTTTGTAGAAAAAACTTTCTATAGATGAGCATAGAGAGGCGGGTAGGGTTATCTCGAAATATTATTGTTTATCTGAGATTTCGTAAAGAACAAACTATATATTTTTATTTTTGTTTCTATTGCTGTTCTTTCCATGTTGCAATGTTGAAATTACAAGATGTGGAACGTAGATACCGAAGATGGTAAATTAATAGTTACGCACGTTATTATGTAAAGACATAGGTGAGTTATAGTAGTTGAAAACATATTTTTAAATAAAATAATAATATTTTGTATCATAAAATGGGCAAAAAGTTTTTATTATATAATTTTTTTTTATTATATTCGGACCATTTAATTAACCTTATTAAAGCTATTTTTTCATAGATAGATCATTACAATTGGGGGGTTGGAACCTTTGGTGTTACTACATCAAAATAAAACATTAAAGCTTCATTCGAAACCTCCCAATTAGTGGAATAAATTAGTGGTGTCAATTACACTTTATACTTTTTAGTTTACGATCATTCCCAATATCTAAAAAGCACAATTAAAATTAATGAAATATCCTAGCAACAACATGCAGTAATCAGTTGTATCCATAGAGAAAGCCTAATATTTAGCTTATAAAACAATAAACTTTTGGTTTCTAATTATCTCGCATATCCAATTTTCTCTTGACGGATGATAATAATCAAAGGTCAAAATGACATTCTTCGCAAATTTTGAAGTATAATTAGTGGAAAAGTCAAAAGTTTGTTAACTTTTTCCACTAATTGAAAATTCCTACCACTAATTTTAACACGTTTGCAAAATAAAATAATAATTGACTATTCACTACAATACACCAAAACACTTTGAACACTGGATGCGGATTTCGCTAATCATGTTAGTATCATTAGCAGATGATCAAATCTCAAAAATTTGTTCAAAACCCTCAGTTTTAATCGTCTGTTGTAGTCATCTGCACCAAGTAAAGTGTTTTGGTGTATTGTGGTGAATTAGTGTTTTATTTTGCAAACGTGTATTAAGAATATTTAATATTGGATGGGCGCATCAAAACTAAAATTATGACCATCAGCTGTCACTGTCACTCAAGAGTTTTCGCTCCAATCTTCATTTTAAAATTCACTTAAAAATTGACTCATTTCATTTTATGTAAACAATATAAATACACGTATATTATGGCAAACGCTTGGGTCGACATCCTAAAAATACTACATAGCACCGATAAAAAGCTTTCATCTATTAGAATCATTAGAAAGAAAATTCTTTTCTAAAGTAATTTTGTGTCATTTTCCAAATAGACATCAGTTCTTTATATTTCAGTGATTTAACAACAATTAATAAACACTGAACTTTTATTTGTTCCAGTCAAAGTTTCAAAGAAAAACATGTATTAAAAATATTTAACATTTGAAGTTGGCAGCCAACTAATATATTTCAATTATCACTGTCATGGACGATTTTATTCAAATTTTCATTTCAAAGTTAACACAAAATTTACCGAACTTATTTTATTATGATTTGGGTGGAAAAGAAAATATACAAAAAGTCTTCGATCGACAAAGATCCTAAACCGATTAAAAGTTTATTTGTGAGTATTACAAATTACAAGTGCTTATTAAAATTTGTTTATTGTATTTTTGGTTTTTAAGTATGCTGGGCACACATGCCAAATTTGAATAATGTTGGTCAAGCCGATTTTAAGTAATTTAAGAAAAACTGCATCTATATTCAAATTAAAACTGATCAGGTAATAATTCAAAACCAGTCAAAAGTCAACATAATTTAAGTTTTCAACCTATGATTTTATTATAGTCAAATGTAATAATTTGTTGTGCTGTCTACACTACTACAATTATAGTACCTACGAATGAGGCAAAAGCCTAACGTTTAGAAAATACAATTTGGCATTGACAAAATTATAGGATGACAAGTAAGATACGTTGGCATCTGCCTGATTTTGGATTATTACATGTTACCTGTTCTAATGTAATGTAAATTACTTATAATCGGCTCTTCCAAAATTGTTCAAATATGTATTCAACATACGCACACCTTTAAAAAAACTATTTACAACTTCCCTATAAAATTAACAGGGGAACCAATATCTGGACAGTTCAAAATTTGAATGCGATTTCCTATGTTTACAACGACGATGCACCACTCGGTATACTCATTGTTTAACAATCAATAAACACTAAATATTTATTCGCTTAAAGGTGGGTTTAGACATGTTGTAATGCATAATTAGTATTTTTTATTTTTAATGAATAGTGTATAACGCATAGCACATAATGTGTAAGAAAAAAGATGTGTTTATACAGCACCTAATAATTATGCATAAAACATTGACTAGTCACAGTTTTGACAATAAAGCTGTCAATTGTCATTGGGTATTTTATGCCTAACCCTACTTTGCGTGTCTGTATGGTTTTTACTCAAACTGTTTTTAAAAATTTGTGGTTCTTTTGTTGTATGTAAGAAGTGTCGACTTTCAATATGAAAATACGGAGAAAAGTACTTAAAGTGATTAAAGTTGTGAATTTGGCATATTTGTTTTTAACGTTAGCTGGAAGTGTTGCAACTTTGGCTGAAGTTCATGCTAATCGTAGAAGACATAGGCGATGGGGTATTAGACCCATCAATAAGAAAAAGGAAAGTGAAGGCCTTTTTAGTACCCTTTTTAAAGATATGTGGAAATTTGATGCTGAACAATTTTTCAAATACACAAGAATGACGCAAAATCAGTTTAAAGAACTACTTGCATTGATTGGCAAGGATATCCAAAAAGATAAAAAACGAAGACACATTTCCCCTCAAGAAAGGTTATTAATTACTTTACAGTAAGTTTTTTTTCAACATAAAAACTATTTTAGTATACTTATTTTTACCTTAGTTACCTCGCAGAAGGCTGTTCGATGCAAGAGATGGCTTGGAATTTTAGAATTGGAAAAGCTACTGTCCATACTATTATTAAAGAAACATGTACAGTTTTGTGGAAAAGACTTCGACCAATTGTTTTGCCCCAACCAACTAAAAAACATTTCATAAAAATAGAAAAGGAATTTTTTAAAAGGTGGAATATTCCAAATTGTATAGGTGCTGTGGACGGGAAACACATTAATATTATAGCACCCAAACATTCTGGAAGCGCCTTTTTCAATTATAAGAAGAACTTTAGCATTATCCTGATGGCGACTTGCGATGCCTATTATAGATTTTCGATGGTGGACATAGGAGGAGCAGGAGCACACCATGATTCTGCAATCTTTAGAGCAAGTTGTTTAGGTGCAAGACTTTTAGATGGAACCTTAGACATCCCAAAGCCAAAATCATTGCCAAAAACAAGAATAGAAATACCTCACTTTCTGATAGGTGATGCGGCTTTTCCCTTACATGAAAACATTTTAAGGCCGTATCCGGGCACTTCTCTAAATGAAAAACAAACCATTTTTAATTACAGGTGAGTAACATTAATTCTGGGTTATCATTTAATGCTGTTCTTTTTTTTTCAGGCTAAGTCGAGGTAGAAGATGTATTGAAAATACATTTGGCATATTAAGTTCAAGATGGCGCATCCTTAGGAAGTCAATTTGTGCGAGTCTTGAAATATGCGAGTTAATTGCCCAGGCTACAGTGGTTCTTCATAATTTTTTGCAAAAAAGTGAGCTTGATATACCTCCAAACGAACGAAGATATTGCCCAACAGGGTTTGTGGATTACCTTGATAGAGATGGTAACATTCATGAAGGATTATGGAGAAATGAAGGAGCATCTTTAAGGTCTGTGAATAGGTTGGCTTCAAATAATTATTCAAGAACTGCAAGATCATACAGAGATATAGTTGCAGAATTTTTTGTCTCTGAAGAAGGTTGGCTGTCTTGGCAAGAGGACTATATCAACAGAGGAGGGGCGCCAAACTGTTAACTAAAATATTTTTTTTAACACTTTTTTTAAGTGTATACATAAAAATAAAACAATTTTTTTGTTTAGTAACAAACTTTATTATTTACCTGTATAAATACCTAATATAAGAGACTAATTTAGTTTTAAGGTAACAAATAAAAATATTTCTATCAACATAAGTGTTTCTTATTTGGGGTTAACAAATTGAACTAGGTAAGTATAATATCTGAATTATTAAAAAAAATCAGTCATCATCCTCTAGTTCATCAGCCAAAAGCAACAAAATTTTTGATTTAATTTTGAGTAATTTTTTTTCACTTTTTATTTTTGATAAAGACTCGGCCAAGCTTAAAGCAAAATAGTAATTATCATTACCTATTTCTTTTTTAATATCTCCTGATGATTGTTTAATAAAATCATTAATGCTTTCACCTACGTTACAACATTTTTCTAATAGTTTATCCATGGATGGTGACTCTAATATCTTTCTCTTAAAACCTTGTTTGGTAGTTTTTGGTTTATGTGAGATCAAAGATACGCTTGGGGTACTTGATCGGCTTGCTGTAACTGATTCATGTGGGCTCGGAACTCGGTCTAAGACAACTGTGTTTAAAGAAGTATCGTCTGAGTCAGCATACCTATCTTCTGTTTCTTCTAGATATTCTTCTTGGCTTTCCACAGGAGTTTCTTCAACTAATGATCCATCTTTCCTCACGACCATTGTCGTCGTCCACAAATTAGGTGATGGAAAATTCAGTGGGGTCTTGTCTTGACATTGTTTTTTAACGTTGCCAGATGTTCTAGAAGAATAAATAAATAAAATCAGGAGTCAGCAATATGATAATTTGTATTTACCTTCTAGTTTGTATAACAGGAGCTAAAAAGTTTAATGATTTGAACAGTGGCCAATTTCCCGAATATGCTGCTGATCCTGATGGCATGCTTGTAATTAATTTTCGCTCTCTGATGTATTTAGAGCGGAGACTCTTCCATGCCTCTTGGCAGCTCTCAACTGAAAAAACCGTTTATGTGTGTAACTATGTACAAAACGAAAAGAAAATCTATAAGTACTTACCACTCTCTTCCATAATAAATGAAATGCTTTTCCATGCATTTTGTACCACCAAAGAATTTCTATATTCTTTGTCCTTGGTATTCCAAATACAAGGAAAGTTTTGGATGTTCTCTATCAAAATTCCTTCCTCGAAGCTCATTTTGAAAAAAGGAAAGCGGCCGACAAGAGTAAAGCCCAAATGAAGCCACAAAACAAAACCCGATCCTGAACGAAACATGTCAAAACCAAAACACAAAAAATAGGTTAAGGCGCTGTTAAGGTTAAAAAAGGAAGGAAACGCGGGAAACGCCAACTACGGCCACTACTGGACCTGCGCACTAGCATCCTGATGCACAATTTGTAAAACATAATCATAAACATAATGCATAAAGTTAAAAGTTGGTCAACTTTGTAAATTATACATTATGCACTAAATTAAGTGTTATTCACTGTGCGCTGTATAAACATATGTATTTAAATTATGGATTTTTAACAATATCTATTATTCACAAAAAATTATGCATTATGCGTTATTTGCTGGCTAAACCCACCTTAAGTCAAAATATCGTGAAAAACTTGTGCTCTATCTATTTTATCTTATTACTGAAGTAAATTACGTGAATATAAATTATATTAATAAATTATATAACGAAATATATCAATGAAAAAAATACCGTATGAACGAAAAAAAGAAAAACGACGTCCTGTTGGCTTGGAAACAACGATCTATAATTCTATAATATTCCCCATATAATTTTACATAAAATGAGAGTGATCCTCATTTCCAAGCCATCCCTGGAGTAGTTTTCTTTCCTATCGTATGGTACTGTCGCCTAAAAAGCTTAAATATCCAATCACAAAAAAATCCAAATCAAGTTAGTACCACTTTCTGAAAAGGCATCGTTTTCTTAAATTTCCGCGATTCAACAATTAATAAACACCGATTGTTTGTTTATTCGGGCGAAAGCATCGCGGAAAACTCGCGTCTAATCCGTTTTTTTAAATATAACTATTTCCGAAGTTGATTGCGCGAATTTCGATCAAAGACTGACTTGGCCACCGACTGAAACTCTGGCGGCAATCAAGTCGGCGTGTAGTGGAAAACAAACGAACGCTAACGCCATCGGCGCGAAAAACTTACTGAATGGAAATCCGGATAAAGGTAGGTCTAGACGACCGGATGAGTTTGTTAATTTTCGCCAGAATTTTGTAAGGAAACGACGACTTACGTAATGTTAGTTAAAGTATAAAACGGTGTTAGTAAAGTAAAACGTTAAGAAATTTGTACTTTAAGGATGAATGGGTTTCGCAAGGACAATAGTCACCCTTGACTGTCTTTGACAAAAATTGTATAAGAAGTAAACATTTTGATTATAAGTCTTTGATTAAAAAATGCATTTGGCTTGCTGATGATATTATGGTAGGAAATAAAAAATGATGCATATTTAACACAATGTTTTGGTGTCCTCCGGATAATGTATGGTATACTTTCTATTGAAGGCCCATTGTATTATAAAATGGGTTGATTATTAGGATAACAAGTATATTTTGTTGCACAAAACGATGGGTTGCCAACAAATCTCTAGAATGGTGTAGAAATTCACCAGGACAGAAATTGGTGAAAAGTGCATAGTAGAACAATTGCCAAAAATCACAACAGTCCTGACAAAAGACAGAAAAGACTGGTCAACGCTCTAGTGGGTCTACTAAGAGGGCATTGTAAGCTGAATAGGTATCTAAAGCTAAGGGAATCGACGGACAAAGCCATGTTCAGGTTGTGTCAACCTGAAGAAAAAACGACAGAACACAGTCGGTGCAACAACCTGGCAAATGTGCGGTTCTCTGTAATAGGTAATGATAGGCCATTGACAGAGAGCTATATGTTTGTTAATATTATATTGTATGGTATTATATAATATTGCTATAAATTGTTAATTAACTTAGAACCATATTCATTAAGTGATTATTTGAATTAAAATAATATAGGGTTACATTGTTGTATTTGACGTCATTTCATTTTGTGTTCATTTATATTATATTTGTATATTTGAAACATACTCTGAAATAAAGTATATATTATTATTATTATTATTATTATTATTATATGGAGGGTTCAGTCTCCAAGCTGCTAGACTTTTTGAAAAGGATGGGACTGGAGTATGTAATCTAAGGATCATAAGAGAACCACAATAGATCTGAAAAGGTCACAGTCGATCAGGCCGGTAGCTACCTTGAAGGATCTAATCTAGTCTAATAGTTTTGTACTATAATATATTTTTCTAATTTTAATACCATACCAGCAGGCATGTATTAAGTATGTTAATATGTGTAGGAAACTTTCAGTATTGACCACAGTCAAATCATTTAAGGTAGGGCCTGCCTTTTTCGATCTTACAACCGCTACCCAATTAGCATACTACGATCACCATGTGCTACAAATACCGTACTATTTTGTTTGCATTACATAAATAGAGAGGAAGTAAGAAACAGTTTAGTTTTCATTTGTATATACCGGGTGCGTCTCAAAAGTGGCTCACCCCTATAACTTTTTTATTTTTTCAAATACAAAAGCGAGATTTGGTATGTTAGTATATGACATAAATTAGGATTGATTGACGTATTCAATTGTTTCTGGTCACTTCCTGTTTTACCAGAAATGACTACAACTTTTGATTTTTAAATGGCACCCTCGGTATTTTTTACTTTATTCGATAGAAAATGATATTCTGAATAGAATGACATATCATATGTCAACTTTTGACATTTTCTTTTTTTTAATAAAAAATCGTATTTTAAAATTCAATCTAGAGAATGGCTATGTTAAAAACACTAATTCTTAATCAAGGAGCCTTGGAAAAATAGATTTGATCGTCTAATGTTTTTAGTGTCTTGTCCTAACCAGTTAGAAAATGCACAAATCGTATTTTTAATCATATGTCAATTTTTTCAAATGGAACGAGGGTGGCTCATTAGCGTATTTCGAAAAAGCATTTTTTTACGAATAATTTGATACCACACACTTGGTATTTCCAGTCAAATTTTCTTTACGAACCCCAAGTTATAACTTCAAATAAATCATATGCGAAATGTCAAAAGTTGACATATGATATGTCATTCTATTCAGAATATCATTTTCTATCGAATAAAGTAAAAAAATACCGAGGGTCCCATTTAAAAATCAAAAGTTGTAGTCATATCCGGTGAAACAGGAAGTGACAAAAAAAAACAATTGAATACGTCAATCAATCCTCATTTATGTCATATACTCATCATTATCATACGGTACAAGAACCATATAAAATTGTAACTGGTATTGTAAAGGTCCAAAATTCTTTACTTGTAACACTGGACGCGCGTCTGGCTAACAATTGTTAGCATCATTAATAGAAATAGATGATTAAAACTTTAGTTCGTGTTAAAAGTAAAGTTTAAAGTTTGGGTCTATTGTGGTGAATTAATGTTTTATTTTTTAGCTGTAACACCAAAGGTTTCAATTTCAACCCCCAACTGTATCCACCTTTCTCCATATTTTGAAATAATGAGAAGGAGAGTATTTCCTAGTAGTATATCTCCTATTACAAAGGTTTGCTTCCCTTTAAGAAGATAAATAATTAAACAAGGGATATGTATTTTCTTAAGGAAATCTAGATTTTTCTTTGCACAAAATGCAGATTAACTCCTTCGTCACGGTGCAACGCCGCTATTAAATACACGAGGGAATTTTTAATGAGCTTAGAAGAACCACAATGGCTTTAAAAAAAGTATTTCTTTACGCAACAACTTATTGTGGTTGTAATGGGAGTCGCAGTAGCCCATATTTTGTTACATTATCTTTGAATTAAAATCGATACGTTCTTTTTTTGTCCTGGATACGATTAAAAATGTCATTAATTATCGGGAAAAAATAGCGATAGACAACCTGTTTTAAACGATATTGTACGAAAAGCTAGTTTTAGTTCACGTAAATAGGTAGCATGAAAAAGGAATTTTATTTTTTACTTTAATGTACTATTGTTAATTTTAAATAATAATAGATTAATTTTTCTACTGTGTACTACAAAATGTAAAAAGCTCCTTTTGCAATATTACTATTATTACTATATATTTTTTGTGAAACGTATTATACGAGATTTTTGTATACCATTGTCATGATTGTCATTGTCATCATGCGATTGGGAATATACTTGCTCTTCTTTCTGTATTCAGTTTCAGTACATCTTGTATTAAAAGTATTGACCGTACTCTTCGTAGACACGAAAATTGGCAACAAATGCCAGAAATGCCGACTTGGTATATGTATTCTTTCTATCCTCTCTAGTAAAATATTAAAGAACTAAAGAAGATTAATAGATTTTACGATATTTCATCATCATCCTTCTCAGCTTATTCAACCATTTCCAATTATGGTGTAGCCTCCGTCACATGTTTAGATATTCTCTTTGTAGTTGGGCCCATTGTTGTCTATCGTTGGCTATGCGGGCCCAAGTTATCCCTGCTAATTTCCTAATATCATGGTCCCATCTCAGGTTTGGTCTTCCTCCAGGTCTCTTAATTCCTCGTGGGTATCATACTGTAATTTTTGTGGTCCATCTGTTGTCCGTCCTTCTTGCTATCAGGTGTCCTGCCCATTGCCACTTGAGGGATTTGATTCTGTGGATGACACCTATTACCTGGGTCTTTTATCGTGTCTACTCTATTCTTTTACAGCTTTTGAAGTTGGACCCATTGTTGTCTATTGTTGGCTATGCGGATCCCTGCTAATTTCCTAATATTATGGTCCCATCTCAGGTTTGGTCTTCCTCTAGGTCTCTTAATTCCTATCGTGGGTACCATGCTGTAATTTTTGTAGTCCAACTTTTGTCCATCCTTCTTGCCAGGTATCCTGCCTATTGCCACTTAAGGGATATGATTCTGTGAATGACATCTATTACCTGGGTCTTTTGTCGTAACCACTCTATTCTTTTACGGTCTTTCTTGGTCATTCTCAGCATATTTTGTTCCATTGAGCATTGTGCGACCTGCAGTTTTTTACGATATTTATTTATTACTTTTTTATAAAGCGGGTTTTGGCTTTCGACAAAGAAATTCCAAATTTACAGATACAGGTACAGAGTAACAATAGTACCTATAAGAAAAGAGAAACCTAAAACAAGTACCATAATATCTACCTTGTACCAGCTGCCACTGTACATACTTATGCAAATTAAAGATATGCCATAACATTCAAACTAAAGCATCCCGATGTTTGGTCGGAATTAAACGCCTACAAGCTCACGACACACAGAAAGCCTAATTTAATTTACTACAAG